CTCACGCCAAAGTCAGACAATGATACTAACAGAAAAGAAAATGACAGGCTGATATACCCAATGAACATTGATGCAAAAATCCTCAACCAAATACTAGCAAAACAAATTCAACAGCACCCTAAAAGGATCATATGCCACAATCAAGTGGGATTTGTTCCTGGGATACACGAGTGGTCTAACATATGCAAAGCAATAAATGTGATTTACAACATTAACATAATGAAGGATAAAAACTATATGACTATCGCAATAGATGCAGAGAAAGCATATTCAACATCTGTTTTTTTTTTTTTTTTTGGTAAAGAAGATTGGCCTGAGCTAACATCTGTTGCCAATCTTCTTCTTTTTGCTTGAGGAAGATTGTTGCTGAGCTAACATCTGTGCCATTCTTTCTCTATTTTATGTGGGATGCCACCACAGCGTGGCTTGACAAGCAGTGCTAGGTCCTCGTCCATGATCCAAACTTGCGAACCCCTGACCACCAAAGCGGAACACGTGAACTTAACCACTACGCCACCAGGCCAGCCCCTTCAACGTGTTTTCATAATAAAGACTCAACAAATTCAGTATAGAAGGAATGTACCTCAACATAATAAAGGGTAATATCTGATAGCCCACAGCTAACATCATGCTTAATGATACTCTACTCAGCTAACGTTATATTCAGCCTTTCCTCTAAGATCAGAAACAAGGAAGGGGTGCCCAGTTTTGCCACTTCTATTCAACGTTGTACTGAAAATCCTAGTCAGAGCAATTAGGCAAGAAAAAGGAATAAATGGTATCCAAGTCAGAAAGGAAGTGAAATTGTATCTGTTTGCAGATGACGTGATCTTATATATAGAAAACTCTAAAGATTCTACCAAAAAATTGTTTAAACTGATAAATAAATTCAGTAAAGTTGCAGGATTCAAACTCAGTATACAAAAAATCCATTGCATTTCTATTGGAGAAAGAAATTAAGGAAAGAATTCCATTTGCAAGAGCATAAAAAAATCCTCAGGGATAAATTTTAAAAAGTACGCAGAAGACCTGTACACTGAAAATTAGAAGACATTGATGAAAGGAATTGAAGAAGATGCAGATAAATGGAAAAACCTCTCATGTTCATGGACTGAAAGTTAATATTGTTAAAATGTCCCTATTATCCTAACTGATCTACAAATTCAATGCAAACTCTATAAAAATTCTAATAGTATTTTTCACAGAAACAGAAGAAAATTCTAAAGTTCATATGGAACTACAAAAGACCCAGAATAGCCAAAGAAGTTTTGAGAAGAACAAAGCTGGAGCCATCATGCTTACTAATTTCAAAGTATATTACAAAGATGTAGTAATCAAAGCAGTATGGTGCTGGCATAAAAACAGGCACATAGACCAATGGAACAGAATAGAGAGCCTAGAAATAAACCCATGCACGAATGGTTAATTAACCCTTGACAAAGGCACCAAGAACCTACAATGGGAAAAGATCATCTCTCCAATAAATAGTGTTGGGGAAACTAAATATCTACATGCAAAAGAATGAAACTGGATCCCTATCTTCGACTACTCTAAAAAATTAGCTCAAAGTGGATAAAAGACTTAAATGTGAGACTTGAAACCATAAAACTCCCAGAAGAAAACATAGAGAAAGAGCTACTTGACATGGGTCTTGGCAATGATTTTTTGGCTGTGACACATAAAGCTCAGGCAACAAAAGCAAAAATAAACAGGTGGGACTACATCAAACTGACGTTTCTGTACTGCGAGGAAAACAATCAACAAAATGGAAAGGCAACTTAGAGAATGGGAGAAAATATTTGCAAACCATGTATCTGCTAAGGGGTCGGTATGCAAAATGTATGAAGAACTTATACAACTCAATAGCAAAAAATAAATAATACAATTTAAAAATGGGCAAAGCATCTGGGTGGACATTTTTCCAAAGAAGGCATACAACTAGCTTACAGGTGCGTGAAAAAGTGCTCAATGTCACTAATTATCAGGGAAATGCAAGTTAAAACCACACTGACATATCACACCTGTTAGGGTGGCTTTTATCAAAAAGAGAAGATAGGTGTTGGAGAGGATGTGGAGAAAAGGGAACCCTTGTGCACTGTTAATGGGAAGGTAAATTGGTATAGCCATTATGGAAAACAGTTTAGAGGGTCCTCAAAAATTAAAAGTAGAGCTACCATTTATGATCCAGCAATCTCTCTTCTGTATGTAGCCAAAGGAAACGAAATCAATATCTTGAAGAGGTATTTGCACTCCCATGTTCATTGTGGCATTATTCACAATAGCCAAGGTAAGGAAATAACCTGTGTCCATAGATGGTTGAATGGATAAAGATGATATGGGGTGTATATACACACACACACATAGATGTGTATATATGTATATACATATAGATACACACATATAGATACATTTATATGTGTGTATACAGCTGCGTATTTCAGCCATGAGAAAGAACAAAGTCCTCTCTTTTGCCACAACACGGATGGTCCCAGAGGACGTTATGCTAAGTGACATAAACCAGACAGAGAAAGACAAATACTGTATGATCTCACATAGATATGGAATCTAAAAAAAAAAAAAATCGAACTCGTAAAGAGTAGAATGGTGATTACCAGGGATTGTGGAGTGGGGGAAATGGGGAGGTGCTCATCAAAGGGTACACGCCTTCAATTATAGGACATACAGGTTCTGTAGATTTAACGTACAGAATGCTGACCATAATTCCTAATATTGTATTTGTATACTTGAAATTTGCTAAGAGAGTAGATGTAAAGTGATAGATGTATTAATTAACCCCATTGTGCTATTCTTAAATCAATTTTTTTGGGTTTTTTTCTTGTGCTGGGAAAGAGTCCCCCTGAGCTAACATCTGTTACCAATCTTCTTCTTTTTTATTTTTCCTCCCCAAAGCCCCAGTACATAGTTGTTCTAGGTCTTCTATGTGAGCTGCTCTCATTGTGGTATTCTTTTCAGTGTTTAAATATACCAGATCATCCTGTTATACACTTTAAATATATACAGTTTTGTCAGTTATACCTCAATAATACTGGGAAAAAACAAACAATAAACTAATATAAAGAGACCATTAAAAAAACAAAACAGGAAATCCCAGTGCTACTTTTAAACTATTTCAGAGGATAGGAAAATGAGGATACTTCCCATTATTTTATGAAGCAAAGATAATACTGGTACAAAAACTGATCAAGATTTACCCAAAACGTACCTCAGCTCAGTCTCACTTATAATTATTAATTTTGATAGTTATAATGCTATTTTGGCTTATAGGAAAGTGTTCATATATTTTAGATTTTCATACTGAAGTATTCAGGGGCAGAACGTCATGATGACCTTTCTTTCAAAAATATACTTTACCTGTCATCATTTACGTTAAAATACTTAGACATTGAATATATATAACTGTAAGTTTTTAGGTTCACAGGTTGACCAGATCATCATCCTATTTTTAGGGGTTTCGAAGTCAATCATGAAGTACTTATTTATAAACTTTTTACAGTGATTATTATGTTTGAAATTTGTAGATATTTAACTTTAACTTGTTTTCTATATGTTTACAATTTAAAGTTTTTGAATATAGAAAACACTTGAGATCATAAATGAATCATATGGAAGGATTTTTTTTCAGGGCTTACAAATATGCTACTTTTACATCTGTTTGACTCAACGTCTTTGAAGAAATGGACAATAACAAAAGAAGGACTTCTCAAAAAAAATATAGGTGTTGGGGCTGGCCCCGTGGCCGAGTGGTTAAGTTCGCGCGCTCTGCTGCAGGCTGCCCAGTGTTTCGTCGGTTCGAATCCTGGGCGCGGACATGGCACTGCTCGTCAGACCACGCTGAGGCAGCGTCCCACATGCCACAACTAGAGGAACCCACAATGAAGAATACACAACTATGTACCGGGGGGCTTTGGGGAGAAAAAGGAAAAAATAAAATCTTAAAAAATATATATATATATATAGGTGTTAAGAATTAACTTGAAAGGGAGATGGAATACTCTAAATAGGAGAATTAAAGAGAGAAGACGCTGCATAGTTTGGGAAATTTAAGAAGCAAAATGAAAAATAGTAAAAGTGAGAATAGGATATTAGACAAAGACCAGAATATTAGAAAACCTCAATTCAAACATTAATAAATGTGCTTTTTTTTGGTCTTTTCACCATTCTATCATTTCTTTCAATACCTTTCCCTATACTATACTTTATTAAGTATGTATTTATGCAGATTCATTTTTTACTTAGCTGTCATATTGACCTCTTGAACCCAGGAATTATAGCATGCTTCTTTCAGAAGCCTGTAGATTTCAGAAGCCTCCACAGATTTTCAGGAAAAGACCCTTTTCTGGTTCACTTGAATATCTGGATCTGTTCTTTAATCTAAAATAGGAAAGTTGGATAGGTGATAAACTATATCTTCTATGTTCATTAACTTACTCTGTGTCACGTGGCTGTTCCACAGATGGTGAGTTGACTCACTGGTTGGTTGGTCATTTGGATGGATTGATTACTAAAGAAAATTGAAAAATTATGAGAAATGGAAAAATTGGAATGAAGAAGGCATAAAATTCAGAAAAGTCATCATTTAATTTGCAATAAGATAAGAGGAAATGATTATATGAGAAGTAAAAAGAGAAGGATCCAAGTTTGCTTAAGATACAAAGAAGAATGAATAAAACCTTGAAATGAATTCAAATTAAATGGGAATGAGTGAGAAGTCGTATATCTTCCCTTGTCTAGGAGATATTGAATCATTGTGTCAGAACAATTAGCAAGACAATATATTTAAACTCATTTTAAGTTTATTCTACCCTGAATTCTCTTTTGCCCCCATTTTTAAGAAATGTGTCATAGGTAGTTTGATGTTTCCCCTTCAGAAACATAGGGTTTATGTAGAAGAAGGTTTTCGTATAATCATAAAATAATGTCTTAAAGGTAAAAAGGAAAGGTAATGATGTTTTTCTTTTGGGGTGGGGGAATTATTCCAGGCATAGCCCTTCTGTACCTGCAGTTGTATCGGGTCACATGTGACCAGACCTACCTGCTCCGATCCCTGGATTACATAAAGAGGACACTTCGGAATCTGAATGGCCGCAGGGTCACCTTCCTCTGTGGAGATGCTGGGCCCCTTGCCGTAGGAGCTGTGGTCTATCATAAACTCAAAAGTGATTCTGAGTCCCAGGAATGCATCACAAAGTGAGTTTTTAAAACTGGAAATATTTTCTCCAAATTCTCAGTTGAAGGTCTTGCTGTAGAAAGATATTCAAAAAGGAAATAATTTTTTAATTCATCTACTGTTGCAAACAGATCTCTCCAAGAAGTGAAGAGGTTTGTATATGAATTTTGAGCATAATGGTGGTATCATCTGCTCCCTTTCTATCCAGGCATGTGTTTGCCTTAATTTTGTGGGGAGTGAAAAATGTGTTTCTTTGTGTTAATCATTTTTCCTAAGTAATTTTTGATTGCCTTCAATGCATGAAAATTAGCGTATCTGCCTTAGATTTACTGTAACTAAGTTATTCTTAGGTTCAACCTTTAAGTAACTGATTAAATGTGCTAATTATGGAACAGTTAAGAGTGCAAACTTTTATTGCACTTACTGGTTTAGATTCTTTCTTGAAGAAACAGGAATCAGGGCTCACTCCCAGGGCCTGGTACTTGCTAGTCCCTTAATGTTTGTTGAAGGGTGGAATGATCAAGCTAATTCCCAAGCATTGTCTACATTTTAGTACCATTTTCATTTAGATTGTAAATCACTTTCTTCTAATTTTGGATTTCAAAATTGAATATCTTCTCTTACATGATTTAGAATAAAAATAAAGATAGAAATTTTTAACAGAAAGATGTTTTGTTATTAATTTTGACATCTGTGAGAAAAATTAATGAAGTTTTTGTTGTTTTCTCAGGGTTTTTTTTTGTATTTTATAAAATCAGTTTTAAATTAAAAATAAATAACAAGTAATTCATAAAGTGATGGAGTTACTGTTTCAGGAAGAGAGATTTTAGACGTTCTCTGGGAAAACAGAATTTTTCTTGTTGGGTAGACTTTTGCAGCTCCAGAGAACCATTGTCTGCCGAGATTCAGACCTTCCCGATGAGCTGCTTTACGGACGGGCAGGTTATCTGTATGCCTTGCTCTACCTGAACACGGAGATCGGTCCGGGAACTGTGTGTGAGTCGGCTATTAAAGAGGTATTGTGGGATTACTGATGACTATGGGTCTCCTCTCATCTCTACTGTTAGATCCTATCTGTAGCATTGAGTCATAGTGGTGGCTAGACTCTGCTTCTAGATAGTAGTAATTTCTTAAAGCATCTCATTAATTTAATAAATGGCTCCTGTTTTCCTTTCTAGGAATATTTTTTAAAAAGCTGTACTTCTCTTAGTTCTATATTAATTCATTTATTTTTACTGGAACCAAACAAAAGCAAATTCAAAAAGACAGAATGTTTCCCATCCAAGTACTCACCAGGCTCAACCCTGCTTAGCTTTCCAGATCAGATAAGATCGGGTGTGTTCAGGATGGTATGTGGCTGGCCCCATGGCCAAGTGGTTAAGTTTGCGCACTCCGTTTTGGTGACCCAGGGTTTAGCTGGTTCAGATCCTGGGCACAGACATGGCACCACTCATCAAGCCATGCTGAGGCAGCATCCCACATGCCACAACTAGAAGGACCCACAACTAAAAATACGCAACTATGTACTGGGGAGCTTTGGGGAGAAAAAGGAAAATAAAGTCTTTAAAAAAAGAACAAAAAAAAAGAATCACCTTAAAAAAAAAGAATGTTCATTTCTCTTTCATGAAATGTCTGAACTAGTAGGCAATCCAGGCAGGTAGGGACCCAGGTTCTTCTGTCTTGTTCTGCCATATCCTAGGGGCTTGCCCTTATCTGCGTGACCAAAGCTAGTTGAACATGTCCAACCCTGGAGTCTGGTGAGGAAGTGGAAGATAAGCAGCTTCCTTTTTAAGGCCAAGAACTAGAAGTTGCCCACCTCACTTCTGTTCACATCTCACTTCCAAAACTTAATTAAATGACTGTGTGCAGCTGTCTGTAGCTGGATACCCTGCTAAAATTTGGAACACTGTTACCAAAAGTATGAGGGGAGAGTAGATATGAGGAACAATTGGTGTCTTTGCCACTTAGCCATTCCAGATATGAAATTCTTCTTTCAGTCTAACTAAAGTCCTGCACACCACAACAGACCTCATTTCATTAGCATTTTGTAAATAAAGCCTATTCCTCCAGCCTTTCCTGGAAGATGTACCTGCCAGTCTTTTGGGGAAAACATTGCAGCTACAAAGCAACTAAGTAGGATGGTTTTTATAGGAATTTTTTTCTAGATTCTTGTAAACTGTTCATACAAAGAATTTTTCACTTCTTGGTTCAGCTTCATAATGTCCTTTTCTACTCTGAGATTATCTTCTGATTTCTCTCTGCCTGTATTAATTTATAAAATAAAGATAACAGTGTTAGCCACTAACTGCTTAAAGATTTTTAGATTATCTGTCATCTGTCTACACACACACACACACACACACACATGAAGACATTTGTTAGTGTTGATTAGACTAAAACAATAAAGGTAAGTTTTTCAGACTTCTGCTGTCTCATTATCTCTGTAGGTAGTCAGTGCTATTATTGAATCGGGCAAGATCTTGTCAAGGGAAGAAAAGAAGACTGAGCGCTGTCCCCTCTTATATCAGTGGCACAGGAAGCAGTATGTTGGAGCAGCCCATGGCATGGCTGGAATCTACTACATGTTAATGCAGGTAGGTAAGAATACTGTGAAATACTAACATGGTGACCACATTATAAAATATTAGATCAAATAGGAAAGGGGAACTGAAATTTTAGCACAAACCAAGCAGGCTGAAATAAAATAAGGATCCTACTTTGAATCATGGATACTTCAGTGCTGCGTTATGAACCCAAGCAGTGAACTGCTGATAGCACATTCTGTATGCAGTTTTATACCACATTAGCTGTCTGGTGCCCCCACTTTTCTTCTGTCCATGTCCTCCTGCTGATTGAAGTAGTTACTGTTTTAATAGGGGGAAACATGTATATATTCTACTTTGTGAATTTTCTTTATACAGTCATGTGTTGCTTAACGATGGGAGTATATTCTGAGAAATGTGTCATTAAGCGATTTTGTTGTTGTGTGAACATCATAGAGTATACTTACACAAACCTAGATGGTATAGCCTACTACACACCTAGGCTATATGGTGCTGATCTTATGGGACTATCATCGTACATGTGGTCCATTGTTGACTGAAACGTCATTATGCAGTGTATAACTGTAGTGGAGACACACGTTTCTAAAATAACCAGAGTTCCATGTCTCATTTAAAAATGGCCCTGTTGTTCTGTACAGTTGGTAGATTGTGTGTATTTTTCCAAGAAAAATGTTTTAACAGTGACTTTTGACCCTTTTTTTTTTAAGTGATAATACCCTTAAGGGAAACATAATCATATGAGAACCACGCCAATAAAAATAACCTAATTTAGATTTAGAGGTTTAGGTTAATTTTGTTAAATATGAGGGGTTTCCTCGAGAGAAACACAAATCATGAAGTTTTCCCCTTATCTGCTTTTAAAGTGAAAAACATGGAAACCTATTTAGTAAGGCTTCTATTTGGAAGTTGATGTCAGTTTTCTTTTGATGATCACTAAGCAGTGGTATGCTAGAGCTGGCTCACAAGAGCAGTTGTGCACAGTTCTTCCCTGTCCTGTGTCTGCTGCCAGTCTGGCAGAGCAATAGAGCAGCAGTGTGACGGTGCAGCAGTGCAGCTCCTCCAAGTCCCATGGTATGGTTTCATTTGAAAGGCTGTCAGAACAATATACACAGAAACATAAAATATCACTTAAAAACAACTCTACTTTCCTGATGGCAGAATAAAGACAATTCTTCTCTTGAAAATCACCTCAAAACAGCAAAGAAAAGAGAACTAGCCCTGATGGCGTTGTGGTTTAAGTTCAGTATGCTGCACTTCGGCAGCCTGGGTTCAGTTCCTGGGTGTGGAACCGCACCACTCGTCTGTCAGTAGCCATGTTGTGGCAGTGGCTCACATAGAAGAACTAGAAGGACTTAGAACTAAAATATGCAACCATGTATTGGGGCTTTGGGGAGAAAAAACAACAACAAAGAAAAAAAACAGAAACCCAACTTTTTTGATGAAACTAGGAGACATCTGGAGCCCCATTCTACAAATATTTAGACTGAGAATAGATGAAAGAATGGCAGAGGAAGATCACACATCGATGCCTGAAGAGGAGGTTGCCAATAAGCAGCAAGCCAGTTTGTCCTGCAAAACACTGGAAGGCAGGAATTTAAAGTGCCATGTACTATTGAAGGTGCTGCCAGACATGTGTTCATATAGGGGTGAGGTCTGGGCAGCAGGAGGGCTTCCTAGAAAATCTTTACCAGATCAGTTGTACTGCTGTTAGTAAGTCCACCCTGCACAGTGAAGTGACTGACTATTCCTCCCCTAACTCCTGCTGGAGACAAAAGGAAATGGTCTGGAGGAATTAAACCAGCGGTTTTAACTCAAGAAAGCCAGGTGTAGAGGACAGTGGAACTGAAGCATAGAACTAGGGTTTGCATGAATGTCCACATGGTAAATGGTGAGACCTCCCTGCTACCACAACCAGCCTCATGCACCACCAGTTTTCTCTCAACCCAAGCAGCGTTGCCACCTCCACTTCAGATAGGGGATTGAAGTCTCTTGTTTTGGAGAAACAGCTCAGATAAAAGATTTAAAGGTATGTAGGCATTTGAAACTCCCCATTTAAAAAAGTTAGCTAGCTATCTGTGATAGTTAATGTTATGTGTTAACATGCAGGGCCACAGTGCCCAGATATTTAGTCAAACATTATTATAGATGTTTCTGTGAAGGTAGTTTGGGTGAGATTTACATTTAAATGGGTAGACTTTTAGTAACACAATTTGCCGTCCATAATATGGGTGGGCTTTGTCCACTTGTCCAATCAGTTGAAGGCCTCTCCTGAGCAAGAGGGACTTCTCCAGCACATCATGGCCTTTGGACTTCGTCTGCAACATTGAAAGAGTTGAAACCAAAAAAAGGTCTTCTGGGTCTTTAATAACTAGATAATTGAATTAATTCTAGTTTCATGTGCTCAATATTCTAGTAATTGATGCTTTATTATATTAGCCACAATACAGAGGTTTTGGAAAAATTAATGAAATGTTTTATTTTTATTTGTTTGTTTAAAGCCAGCAGCAAAAGTGGACCAAGAAATCTTAACAGAAATGGTGAAACCTAGTATTGATTATATGCGCCACAAAAGATTCCGATCTGGGAATTATCCTTCATCATTAAGCAATGAAACAGATCGATTGGTCCATTGGTGCCATGGTGCCCCGGGTGTCATCCACATGCTTATGCAAGCTTACAAGGTCAGTACTTCAGTGTGGATCACAGGCATCCCATGTTCAGAGATGTCGTTTTCACCACCAAGTTTTGGTTTGATTTTGGCAAACATACTTGATTGCAAACTAAAAACCTTTTAGAATTAATGGTTTTACAAAATAAATAGAAATTCTCATTATTTCACTATTCATCACCACTGTAGTTAGTGCTATAAGTGTATGTGTGTGTGTTTAAAAGGGTTATGTTCTATGTAAAAGAAAACCTAGCTGACAGCAGAGTAATGATTTTTATTCTAATGAGTCTTCATTAAGGCAGTTGGCAGTATTAGAACCAAAATGCTTTTTTGTTTGACTTGATATCATTTTATTTTCTTGCTTAAATAAGCCTTTATTGCTGGATTATCATTATTATTATTCAAAAGCTTTTGAATTTGTGTTTAAAATTGTTATAAAATTATTCCCAAGAGATAGGTGTGGCATTCAAATTTTTACACATACAGGGTATTACAGGAAAATAGGCACTGCCTTCACTAACTGATTCTAGTAGACTCTAGATAGATTTGGGCTCAATATTAAGAATACTGTTGATTTCTCTCCTGGACTAAGATTTGTTATGTAAGTTGAAAGCAAACAATGCTTCTTTTGTAATTCTATTTTTCTTTTAATGCATCTTTTTTTTTGGTTTTTAGTTTTTGGTTTTTTTGAGGAAGGTTAGCTCTGAGCTAACATCTGCTGCCAGTCCTCCTCTTTTTTCCTAAGGAAGACTGGCCCTGAGCTAACATCTGTGCCCATCATCTTCTACTTTATATATCAGATGCCTGCCACAGTACGGCTTGACAAGTGGTGTGTAGGTCCACACCCAGGATCCGAACCAGCAAACCCCGGGCCACCAAAGCAGAATGTGCGAACTTAACCACTGTGCCACCTGGCCGGCCCCTAATGCATCTTTATTTGTAATATTTGATGTTAGAGATTGTTGCTCATATATCAAAGTATACAACTGTAACCACAAGGAGAGGTGTTTTGGCAAAGTCTCTTAGTTTTGCAGAAATAGATGGACTTAATGGAGCAGAATTCAGATTCTACCTGAAAATAACAAAAGAACATCCATGAATCACTTTTATTTTCTCTTTGTGACTGACTATAGTAAATTATTTTTTAAATTGTGGGGAATTATCTCATGATTTAGGCTAATTTCTCAAAATTTTTTTAGTTCTTCTACAACAATAGAACCAAAAATATTCGAATAATATAAAAGTCAGGTATGAGCATCAAGAAAATCGCTCAGAAAGTTATGATATTTGGTGAGAGCAAAGCACTCTTTGGAAAATCAGAAGAACTTAGTGATTCACCTTCTTAACACTACCTCAGCTTTTAACTTAAAACAGAATTCTGTTTGAATCACTGCTTCCCCTTTTTTGAGCTTTAGAACGATTGTTGTAGCTTCAGTGACATAGACATAAGTCTGTAATATTATAAATATCCAACCATAATATCTGAACATACTATTGGCAGTACAAACTAAGGACCCTTTGATGTTCAAAACAGGTGTGACTTTGCTGAAAAGTCAAAGCTTCTGCTTGTCAGACTCCTTTTCCCCTCTCACTTTAAAGAGGATCAGCTATAGAGCTGAGCATTCCTGGTGGCTGATAATGGGGGTAGTTGGCTTTTGGGGGTCTTCTCCCCAGCCCACACCCCCACTCTAGCAGCTGAGCCTTGTGGTCAGTAAGCAGGTGATCAGGAGCCCTTCATCCTGGGCAGGTCTATTTCCATTAGCCCTGTCGACAGTCGCCTCCATCTGTTTCCACTACTGCTGTCAAAGCTCTGCTGCTGACAGGGTCACAGATGTGTCAGACCGCTACTGCCTCCAGGGCTTCTGCTCACAATACCATATAATGCCTTTCCCTGCCCAGCTGATTCCAAAACAGAAATTTCTCTCTTCTAGAAAGCATGGAGCCAAAGACATTAACATCCCATACTTAATCACTAAAATTTAATTCTGTTTACGTCAAGATTCTCAAACATGAAGAAGGGAAGGAATATCAGAATCCTTTGGGGCAGAAGGCATCAATGGTAATTTTAAAAAGCATATATAGTTTTACAATTGGAAGTAAAAGTATGTCGTCAAAGTATCTAAGTCAGTGAGTGGAGTGTGGAATTTGTGTTTGGCCAGGGCAGGGGGCAGGGCTGGGGGTGGAGGTGCAAAGCTAGAGAAACACAGCTCTAGACTATATTCTCTTGTTATTGTTCACTCAACTTAAGAGGGTCTGCATTCATCGAAGCTATGTTTTAAAGTTAGGAAGTATTTAAATTTTATGTAATAACAAGCTTTCGTTTCTCATGCTGGCATACCAAGTCATAAGTTCTTCAGGAATGCTTATGAAGGCATAAGGTTTTCAAGTATTTGAAAAAAATAGTGATATCTTTCACAAATAAAACTATAAATTGAGTCCAGATTCACTAAATTTGTTTTCCTTTCCTGTAGATGCTAATCATGTATCAGTGTTCAGAATACTCTTCTTTGTATGAACATGTATTATTTGTTAACTTAAAATTATATAGTGTTTCAGATGGTCTTGGGGAATATGTTAAGGTTTTTTTGAGGAAGATTAGCCCTGTGCTAACATCTGCTGCCAATCCTCCTCTTTTTGCTGAGGAAGACTGGCCCTGAGCTAACATCCATGTCCATCTTCCTCTATTTTATGTGGAATGCTGCCACGGTGTGGCTTGACAAGTGGTGCATAGGTCTGCACCCAGGATCTGAACTAGCAAACCCTAGGCCTCTGAAGCAGAACGTGGGAACTTAACCGCTGCGTCACGGGGCAAGCCCCCCAAAAATGTCAAGATTTTAACAATATTCTGTACTATATTAAGAATTTTGTTAAATGCAAATGATTTTCTAACAAATTACACTTGTGGACCCCATAGCTGGAAGGTATTTTGATGGGTAGTTACAATCAGCTCTTGATTATCTGACAATAAATTATAGGTAGTGGTGACACACACATTCTGCCTTCCTCTAACCACACATTTGGGCCCTAGGGCATTAGCAGTTTGCATAGATTCAGCCACTATAAACAAATGCTAACAGTGATCAAATGAAATTGTATTTAGAAAGGTAAATATGCTGCCCAAGAAAACCATATAAGTCCTCCCAACATGCTATCAATGTAGTCCTTTGATTCTGTGCATTTTCAATGTCTGAAACAGCCATCCCATCCCCCTAGTGCACCCACAAGCCTACTCTGAAGATCTCAGAACAGAGCTGTTAGAAATGCGTCCTGGTGGTCAACTTTTGACTGCACGTCAGAAAATATTTTCATATAAATTATGTTCCAAAAGCTCATTTGTGAGTTGGTTATTTGAAACATGGCATGTCTTTCTAGGGGTATGTGTCAGAATCGCCTGGAGAGAATATTTCAAACTGTATTTTCATTCCTTCTTCCTAAGTATTCTTATTCCTTTCTAAGACTAAGCATCATTTATATAACTAAACCACAGTTTATCCACTTGTTTCTCAGTTGTTTCTGGTTTTTTACTATTATGACTAAGCTGCTATGAACATTCTTACACAGGTGTTTTTGTAGACATATGTTTTTATTTCTTTTGGGCCAATACCTAGGAATGGAATTGCTGCATCAGAGGGTAGGTGTATATTTAGTTTTGTAAGAAACTGACAGACCTTTTCTCAGAGTGGTTGTACCATTTTACGTTTCATCAACAAGTTACGAGAGTTCTGGTTGCTCTGCATCTTTGCCAACACTTGGTGTTAAAAGTCTTTTTAATTTTATTCTGGTGGGTATTTCATCATGGTTTTAATTTGCATCTGCCTGGTGATTAATGCTGGTAGTAGTTTTGCTTGTGTTTATGCGTCATTTTTCTGTTTTCCTTTGTCAACTGTTCATATCTTTTACTCACATTGTTTTATGCTTTTTTGTTTGTTTTTATTACTGAGTTGTAAGAATTCTTCATGTGTTCTGGTATTAGCAGTTGTATGTTTTGCAAATAATTTCTCCCAGTCTGTGGCTGGCCTAATCTCATTCTTTATGGTATCTTTTGATGAATAGAGTTTTTAATTCTCATAAAGTCTATTTTATCAGTTTTTTTTTTTTTTAAAGCTTGGCACCTGAGCTAACAACTGTTGCCAATCTTCTTTTTTTTTTCTTTTTTTCTCCCCAAATCCCCCCCAGTATGTAGTTGTATCCTTTAGTTGTGGGTCCTTCTAGCTGTGGGATGCCGCCTCAACATGGCCTGATGAGTGGTGCCATGTCCACGCCCAGGATCCAAACCAGCAAAACCTTGGGCCTCCAAAGTGGAGCACGTAAACTTAACCACTCGGCCTCGGGTCCGGCCCCTATTTTATCAGTTTTTAAAAGGGTTAATTACTTTCTGTATCTTATCTAAGAAATTTTACTTACCCTCAGGTTATACAGATAATATTCTCCTACAAGCTTCATGGATTTAGATTTTACACTTAGTAGAACTATGATCTGTCTCAAACTGAGGTTTGTTGCTACATGAGGTAAGGAGTGAGGTTCTTTTTTTCAACCATAGAGATATCTCATTGTTCCCACATCATTTGTTAGAAGGACTTTTATTTACCCCATTTGATTGATTTGATGCCTTTGTCAAAAATCAGATGACCTGGGGCTGGCCCTGTGGCCGAGTGGTTAAGTTCATCTCCACTTAGGCGGCCCAGGGTTTCACCACTTCAGATCCTGGGCGTGGATCTGGCACTGCTCGTCAAACCATGTTGAGGTGGCATCCCACATGCCACAACTAGAAGAACCTACAACTAGAGTATACAAGTCTGTGCTGGGGGGCTTTGGGGAGAAGAAGAAGGAAAAAAAAGATTAGCAACAGATGTTAGCTCAGGACCAATCTTTTAAAAAAAAGAAAAAATGTTCTCTTACTTTAGCATGTTTTTCTATCATCATGGCACTATTTTATTTTGATTACTCTAGCTTTTGTAAGTTTTGAAGTCAAGTAGTTTAGGACTTCCAACTTTGTTCTTTTTCAGAATTGCTTTGAATATTCTAGGTTCTTTGCATTTCCATGTAAATTTTAGAATCAGTTTGTCAACTTCTACAAGAGAGTCCTGTTGGGATTGTGAGTGAGATTGTATTGAATCTATATGTCAACTTTAGTAGAATTGACGTCTTAATATTAAGCCTTTTATCCACAAATATGGTATACCTCTCCATTTATTTACATTTTCTTTCATTTCTGTCAGCAGAATTTTATAGTTTTATATAGATGTCTTTATATTTACAGTGTGTCTCTTTATGGTTGGGACTTGTCTTAACAATCCAGTCTGACACTCTCAGCCTTTAATTTGGAATGTTTAGCTCATATATAGTTAATGTAATTATTTGTATGAGTGGCTTTAGCTCTGCCATTTTTCCATTTGGCTTCTTATGGCTTCGTTTTGGGATTTTTTTCCTCCTCTGTTTTCCTTTCTTGTCATTTTAGGGAGGTAGGAGAGATTAATTGAATATTTTTCTAGAATTCCATTTTAATTTCTCCATTGACTCTTTAACTGTATCTATTTGTACATTTTTTTTCCAGTGGTTGCTATAGGGATTGCAATATACATTCTTAACTTTTCACAATCTATGTAGAGTTAACATTATACCACTTTACATAAAATATAAGAAAGTAGTAAGTGTATAGTTCCTTTTAGCCCAGTTCTTTACACTATATCTCATACATGTCAACAAATCTTATAAAACCCCAATATAATGTTATCATTTTTGCTTTTTAAATAGTCCTGTGTATTTTAAAGAAATTAAGACAAACAGAACATTGGTTTTTGATATTTATTTATGTATTTCCCATTCAGTGTTCTTTATTTCTTCCTGAAGATCAGATTTCTGGTTGGTATTATTCCTATCAGTCTGAAAAACTTCCTTTAGCATTTTTTCTGGTCCAGGTTGGGTGACAACAAATTAACTTTCATTTATCTTAAACTTGTCTTTATTGCACCTCATTCTTTAAAGATATTTTTGCTGGATATAGAATTCTAGATTGACAGTCTTGTTTCCCTTTCAGTCCTTTAAAGATACTGTTCCATTTCTTTCTGGCCTCCCTTGTTTCTGATGAGCAGTTAGTTATTCTTTATCCTGTTCTCTTATATGTAGTGTGTTTTTTTCTGGAAGCTTTCAAGATTTCCTCTTAATTTTTGGTTTTCAGTTCTTTTTTATGTACTGTCAATGAAAATAATCCATAACCAATCTATAAATGAAAATTTGGGTGAGTTTATTCTGAGCTTAAATTTGAGGATTATAACCTGGGGCCTTTCTTCCTGAAGGAAGAAAGGGCACCAAAGAAGTGGGGTGCACAGAGTGGTTATATACCCCCAGAGAGGATGTTTCACATAGGATTGAAATGTCCCTTTTACAATAGTTGCGAGACTGCTCTGTCGGCACAGCAATTGATGGAAACAGCAGGTAGGTCTTCTGTCTCAGTGAACACAGCAGGGTGGCAGTGTGTTGTCTCCAGCTGAGTGGTCACAGGTGAGCTGGGTGGTCAGAGGGGAGTGCAGCAATCAGTTCCTAGCCTAAGGAAAAATGCTTATCCCTAAGGAAATGCTAATGTGGGGGGAAGTTGCACCTTTATCTCAAGGGCCTTTGTTCTGGCCATAGGAAATGTCTAAGCAGATATGCAATGCGTGCTCAATAGCCACAGTCAGGCCCTTTTGGAAAAAAGAAAGTCAGGCCGAATTAGGTTTATACCAAATGGCTTCCTCATATACTCCAATATATCCTATTGCTTACCATTTTTATTTGTCAGTACCTATGTGTATCCATTTATATTTATCCTGCTTGAAATCCCTTAAGCCTCTTAAACTTATAATTGTACCTTTCACTACATTTGGTAAATATTTGACCTTTATTTTCTAACAAGCCTCTGAGACTTTTATTTTTCTTTTCTGTAATTCAGATTGGATAATTTCTATTTATCCAGCTTCATATTCACTAATGATTTCTTCTCTTATGTCTGGTCTGCTATTAAACCTACCCAATAAATTTTTTATTTCACCTATTGATGTTTTTCCATTTCCAGAATACCTGTTTCTTTTTCATACTGCCATTTCCTCTGAGAGTTCCAAACTGTGCATTGATTATCAAATTATCAGTATAGTTTCCTTTTCATTCTTAAAGATGTTTAATAACTGTCTAAAATCCTTGTCTGTTTTCAACCTTTGAGTCATCTCAGCATTAGTCCATTTTGTAACATGAGCAGATAGGTTCAGAGAAGTCACAGTGACGTACTCAAAGTCACACGGTTAGTAGTTGTGGAAGAGGGAATCCAACCCAGTCTTCTGATTCCAGATCCTTTATGTTTTCATCTGCACTCTCTCTCCAAACTGTTTGTCATGACACTTCCCTGGGAAATTTACCATTTGAGAGAAGTATTATGGATAAACAAACAGATTTTCTGGCCAAGTTATAATTGCTACAATGTGGAGAAGACAAACCTGTGATTAAATCTTGGAGCTTTTTCCCATAATCTTTAAATTCTCAAATGTCTCACTATTAAAAGTAGCCCCACACTCAGAGCATGCATATATATGATGGTAGTGGGGGTGGGGTGGAAGTGCTACTGGTGCAGGTAAAACAAGGTGGCCTTATGGGCACACCTCTAACAGCCTCAGTCTTACAGGGCGAACAGGGACAGCAGGAAGGGAATCTCATTGGTTTCCCTTTCAACACTCACATATGCCTGGGCTACCACTAGAAAACAGCAAATCAGGTGTCTTTAGGCCTGACCTTCCTCTCAGTATGATTTCAGGACACAGCCACTAAAACAATCGCTTTTCACCTATTAGCTTTGACCAAGTATTTCTTCAGGATAAGAAAAGGTGTTTCCCTTTATAGCTCATTTTAAGAGGCTTAAGATGCAAATGACAGGGTAAAGTATTTTTGCTGGCATGATAACATGGAAAGAATAAGAGTTAATGATGCTGAAGAGTACTTAGCACTTACTGTGTGCCAGGCACTGTGCTAAGATCTTCTTGTGTATTATCTTATTTTAACCCCCACTAGCCACTGAGATGAAGAACTAGTATCCTTTTATAGTTGAGAAAGCTAAGATGGAAGATATTAAGTCACTTATCTAAAACCACACTGTTAAAAGGTGACAGAATGAGATTCAAACTGAGGCAGTCTGACCCAGAGCCCACATTTCAGTTGCTTTCATAACTCAGTCTTGCTTCTGACACTGAGTAGATTGTACATCGGGAGAGTGGCTGAAATGCAAATATGCCTCTTTTTCGCCCACTACAGACACTGATCATAGTTCAGCCTTTTTTTTTTGTTCCTTCAGCTTCAGAGCCTTCTCAACTGGGTGCCCAGAAGATCACTACATATTGGACACAAGAAGATGAGTCCTATTTGTCATCCCCAAGGACATCATCTCTCATGACCTTTTTGACTCTAATTTATTGTCTAAAACTCATTTGCACTAGGTTGGAATGAGTTAAACAGGTGAAGATTACTAATAACAGATTCTGAGGAAAGGACCAGAGAAACAAAATAAATGAAACGTGAGAAGAATATTTAAAAGGGAATGTAGGGAGGCAAAACAGACAGCTTCCTCTTGCCAGGCATTTGCCTTCCCTGCACCTGCATACCAACCACTTGATGGAGACGGTGCCATTAAATTCTGCAACCCAGCCTGCCTACTCCTGGGATTGTGGAAAGCTCTGCGCAGGCCTCCTTGTGATGGGTGCCAGATCTTGAGGTCTTGTTGACATGTGGCTGACCTGGGACATGGAGTATTCTTGACCTAGATGACAGGACATCGTGGAATCATCATTCCCTCAGCTGCCTCCTACATGAGCAGAAGTTTTAGAGCTACAGGGTGTGTGCTCCAGGAAGCACAGAGTGGTTTCTTTGTGACAAGACATCTTACCAAAGAGATCTGGTAGCTTTCATTTTAATTTTTTGAACTAAGTTTTAGAGTTACTTTTGTAAAACTGTGAACTAGAAGGACAGGGGAATAGATGGACAGATTGAGATTGTAAGGTACTCCAGTGTGGGGTTGCTTGTGTGTCTGTTTGTTTTTTATCCCCAGTGCATTTCAGGTTTCCTAATGCCATGCAATTTTCTAACCAGCAAGGAAAAATACTTTGCTAACTCTTTATTGAAAACATCTTTTTAACTCTGCCTTGTTGTTCATCATCTAGGTTTTTAAGGAGGAGAAGTACTTGAAAGATGCCATGGAGTGCAGTGATGTGATTTGGCAGCGAGGTTTGCTACGGAAGGGCTATGGGATCTGCCATGGGACTTCCGGAAATGGCTACTCTTTCTTGTCCCTTTACCATCTCACGCAGGATAGAAAGTACCTCTACCGAGCTTGTAAGGTAAGGACACTTCTATCCAGACAACTGCTGAACACTCCAGAACATTCACAAAGTCCAAAAGTACAGCTTCTTTCCTTCTCCTAACCTGTTTCTCCCAACTGTGCAGTTTCTTCTGTTTCTTTTGGCGCAGCCTTGTCCCTAGTTTCTCTGTGCCACAGTGATCCTGCCTATAAAATGGGGCTTTGAAATGGAAATGAGTTCTGAGGACACAAGTTCTGGAGTCACACTACCTCATTAGAATTCCTCTGTGCCATTTATTAGCTTTATGACTCTGGGTATGTTTTTCCTTCAAGCCTCAGTTTCTTCATCTGTAAAAATAGGGGGGAAATACTACCCATCTCTTCTTGTTCCAAGAAGAATGATCTGAGATAATGTGCAGATGATCTATAATTGCCCCTACTTAAAATTCAATGGTTTCCCATTGCACTGTGAACAAAACCCACAGTCCTCCCCCGAGTTTACAGAGCCCTGTATGCTTTGGCCTTCCCCTGTTTCTCCCCCTGCATCACTTCGTCATATCCCTCTTTTGAGCCCACCACATTCCATGCTACAGCCATGCTGCCCCCACCTCTCCACAGGGTGGAGCATGCCACACTGTCCTCTTTGAACCTTTTATTAGCTGTTTCATCCGTCAAGAATGCCCTTCCCCTGAAATTTGTATGGCAATCCTCACCATTCCAGTCTCAGCTTATATGATGTTCTTAGGGCCTCTGAGATCTCCCAAGTAAAAGAATCAGTCATTCAACTTGTATTTCTGCTTGTTTCTTGAGTATGTTGCACCAGTAGAATATAAGCTCCATGATCTTATTTGTCTAGGTCACTACCCTACACCAGTGCTGGCACCAAGTGGAATAATAATAAATGTGTATTGAATGTGTGAAAATGAATGGCACAAAGCAAGACTCAGTAAATGTTTTCTAGTGAATTTTTTACTATACACATTTCACAAAATATAGTTTTATAGATATGGAAAAAAGGTTGAAAGAAAATACTCCAAAATGTTTACAATGACTCTTGATAATGGAGGCATTATTGGTGACTTATTCGTTATATTTTCTGGACAGTGAACATCTGTTACTATTATGAAACCTTTTCTCAACCCGAATATAAGAGACCCCTTCCCTGTCTAAGGGAATAGACCCCTGAGACACATGCCTGCTGTAGTACCCAAACTCACAAAGAGGCACATGCAGAAGAGAGCAGATGCCTAACCTGGACGTTTTAGGGGGTTCAGATGACATTTAGGCCAAGACCTAAAGGATAGCTAGAAATTTAGCAGAGAGGGATGAGTAAAACTGTTAAAAGGAGAAGAAACTACTTGTCCCAAGGCCTGGAGGTGTGAGGCACCCAGGCAGACCGTATGAAGTTCATGTGGCCGGAGCAGAGCAGAAGATAGAGAGGTGAGGAGCAGCCCAATTTGTTAATAATCATCAGAGTAGATGGTTCAGTAAATCTGAGGAATTGGGAAAGACTTTTGGAGGGTGAGACACAGCTAATTTTTTAAAGATGAAGAGTTTTTCAGGTGGACAGGAAGAGGTGGCCTGGGGAGGGGGAGCACATTCCTGATAGGAGGATAGTTCCTGCACAGCCACAGAGGCATGGAACAGCTCCATGATCCTGAAACTGTATACCTCAGTGTTGGGATAGAGCAGAGGTCAAAAGGTGAAGTCAGACAGGTGGGCAGAGGCCAAAGGAGGTTAGTCCTTTTCTGTAGTCAGGAGTTTTCAACCTGGTTACACCTTAGAACCACGGGAAAACTTTCAAAGAGAGCTTGGAGCCACCCCAGACCACGTCAGTGAGGGGCCGGGCTCCACAGGTGGTTCTCATAACCAGCCCATGTGAGTGCTGATCTGGAGGGGTATGTAAGCCGTGGCCAGACTCCCCATTAGAAACAGTGCCGGGTCACGGGAAAGAATGAGAGTGAGGTTAGGTTTCCTCAAATTGTTATTTAATAATTAACACAAGAAATGTTGAGTTGTGAACCAAAGCATTGGCTGTGATAGTAAAGAGGAGAGATTTAGAAACACTTAGGATGTTGAGCCCACAGAATTTATTGGGGTTTTTTTCAATGTGGAAAAGATGGAAATATCTGAATGTCTTCCTATCATCTGACTAGGGAAACTAGATAGATGATACATCAGACACGCTAAGAGAGGGAGCAGATTTGGAGGGTAGAAAGCAAAATAAGTTTTATTTTATATGTGCTGAATTTGATATTCTTTGTTTATTACTTATGATTCTTTGTATACAAATGACAAGGAAATTAAGTTAGCTTAAGCAAAAAAGAGAAAGTTATTATAATGATATAAAAATCCCATTGATGAGGCTTAAGAAGGAAGGGTCAGGGAGCTCAAGGGAAACTGCTGAGAGCTGAGGGAGGAGTTTTAAAGATGAAGAAGGTGGTCAGGCAGCAGTGCTCCAGGCAGTGGAGTAGACAGGGAGCTGTGGCGAGAGAGCAACAAAGTGCAGGTTGAGTTTCCCAGGAGTGGGACTAAGAATGGCTGGGACCAGATGAAGCTGAGTGGTTTCCAGGTAAGGCCAGAGAAGCAGCCAGGGAAGCCAGTAGCTGATTCTGAATGCAGTTTCAGAGCCAGGGTTTTTAATCTGGATAGAGCAAGTGTTTCAAGTTACTTCAGGAATGATCACCTGTAAAGGCAGGAGGAGGCAGGTGCCTAGAAAAGACAGAAGGTGGTGGTTGTTTGTTTTCTACTTCAGTCTTCCCTACAACCTTCTGAGGTAGGTATCGCCTTACAGGTGAGGAAGCAGGCATAGAGAAGTGACATAACTTGCCAGGCTTCTCCCAGCTGAGAAGGGGTGGCTGGAGTCCCTCCCAGAGCCCGCTCTCCTAATTTCTCTACTGCCCAGAATCTTCTTTCTCTGATTCTTAGCGACATCATTGCAGTGTCTTATTTGTTGCCTTTTCACCGAGTCAAATCTCCACTCTTAAAAATAAATACCTTTTTTCTTAGTTTGCAGAGTGGTGTCTAGAATATGGAGCACATGGGTGCCGCATTCCTGACAGACCCTATTCTCTTTTTGAAGGTAAGACTGAGGAAACGAGTCCAAGTGTAAATATCTGAGTGAGTGGATCTGGTGCTCCTGTCTCTTGGGACTAGCAGTGTTACATTCACTCTTCCTAGAGTTGTAACTCCACAATTCTCAAAAAGCTGTGAGCAAAATTGTATCGTTTCTTTACCTTACCTATTTTGTGCTCCTGTGAATGTCTTCCAAGTGTTTTTAGATCTTTTGTGAAATATATACGCAGACAGAGCATAGAATGTTTGCAGCCCGGTAAACAGAAGAAATAACAAGTTTACTCCTCTGCATTTCATCTGTAATCTTGTGTTTTTCCTGTGATCTGTTCACAGGAAACCTAGTAATTTATTTAAATATATTTAATTATTTAAGTTAGGGAAAGAGGTATAACTAATGTTAGTAACTAGAAATGTTAATAGTTAAAAAACAAGAGAATATTGAAGACAGCAAATACAACATTTACAGTCTGCTGCAGGCACAATATATAGAATATAATTCAGGAAAACAAAATAGAAGTCCTGCAAAGAGACTCATGTATTTTTTATATTATGTGTTTATATGTGTGTGTGTGTGTGTGTATGAACTGGATAATTTGTAACATAGGCCACAAAAATCAAAGGGCAAAGGTTGAATGATGTTAGGATAAATTGATGATAACTTTTAATTACTTTAGAGCCACATCTGATACTAATTCCAAAATAAACTTCAGAAAGAATAAATGATTGAATGTTTTTTTAAATATCAAATAGTAGATGGGTGTTTAATTTAGTCAAATGCTTTTCTGTATCAGTTGATAAGATCATATGATCTTTTTTCTTCTCTAGGCTATTAATATTGTGGGTTACATTGGTTGATTTTCAAATATTAAGCCAGCCTTGCATCTCTAGAATAAATCTGACTTGGTCATAGTTTACAATTCTTTTTAAACGTTGCAGAATTGTATTGACCCATATTTTGCTCAGGATTTTTGCATCTGTGTTCATGAGGAATACTGGCCTTTAGTTTTTCTTTTTTGTACTATCTTTGGTTTTGGTGTCAGGGTAATACTGAACTAATAAACTGTACTGAGAAATATCCTCTCCTTTTCTGTTTTCTGTAACAGATTGTGCATTAATTGGTGGAATAATTGGTGTTAATTCTAATTTAAATGTTTGGTAGAATTCTCCAGTGAAAGCTTCTGGATTTCTTGTTTGGGAGTTTTAGAATTATAAGTTCAATTTGTTTAATAGTTTATAGGGCTGTTCAAGTTATCTATTTCATATTCGGTGAGTTTTGTAGTTTGTATTTTCGAGATATTGCTCCATTTTACCTGTGGTGTCAAATTTATGTGTGTAAAGCTGTGGTAGTATTGCTTTATTACCCTTTTGATGTCTGAATTTTCTGTAGTGATATGCCCTGTTTTATTTCTTAATTTATTTTTTAATCACATAATCGAAATATAGGCAGAAAATAGAGCATTTGTCATTATCTTTCGCAGAATAAGATCTTTCTAATATTCAAAGAAATCATAATGAAAAAATATTTCTCAGAATAAAAATTTTAGACTTTTATATCATAAAAATGCAATGTGTTTGCATCAGATGTACCAGAGTAATACCTGAACTCTAAATCGAGTTCATTCAAAAATTCTAGTTTATAATGGCAACTTCAAAGCCCCACTAGGTAAAAATCTTTGAATGTACAGCTCCCTAAAGACTGGGAAGTCATTAGATTCATTTGTTTCCCTGTGCCTCGCAAGGGCTGTTAGTACGCACTAACTGGATTCTTGTAGGCTGGTGGAGAGTAGTTATACTGAATGTCCATGTGGAGGCCACTAGGTAGGCAGGGTTGCTGACACCTGTGACACCTCCTGCAAGAGCTCTCTCCTGCCCAAGTGCTCCAACCAGGTGGACCTGCTGTCCCATCCCACCAAACAAAAACTCAGGGGTCATTTCGGCATGGCCTTCTCTAGGGCCCTTCCTGAAACTACAGGGTCACTGCCTATCTCTAATGGGTTCTAATTGGTCACTGGTTTTCAGAGTTTTTAAATAAGCTGCTGGAACCCTTTCTTCAAACATGAACTTATAGGGAAGGCTGGGAGCAACCCAAATGTAGCAAAACAGGTACCGACACACACAAAACATGAACATCACAAAAACATTGAGGGAAGAAGCCAGACACAACAGGTTATGTACTATGTGGTTCCGTTCCTATGACTTTCTGAAACAGGCAACACTAATCTGTGGTGGGGATGATGGCAAGACAGACTGGAGAGGGATCCACAGGGACTTCCTCGGGGAGATGATAGAGGTAGTCCATCGCTTGACAGGGTGTGGTTTATACAGGGTGTGTGCCTTTGTCACAACTCAGTTAAGTACACCGAAGACCTGTGCGTGTCATTGTATGTAAATTTTACATCAAAAGAAAAACTACAAATGACAGACACCCAACAGGGGAGGAATTGTGCTGATTGGAGAGGGAGGTAGAGTCCTGGAGGCTGGAGTGGCTGGTGGCTTCCCTCGCCCCACCCTCACCCCCTCCTCAAGAGCCTCTGGATGTCCTCAAGCAAGAACCTGCTTGGTTCCTGCAGTGATTTTGGGTGGGATTTTGACCAAAGCAAATAAAGTTTGTTTTAAAATAATATTCTTAAAACTTAAAGAAGCTATAAAATGCAACTTTTTGTTTGGAATAAGAATATAAAAGCTCTGAGAGAGGAAGTTTTGTATGTTGAAATATCATAATAGCAGCACCCATAAATTTTGGTAGTTTGATCTCATGATTCTGTGAGATCATCTTAAAGTTTCAAGATACAAGATTAAAGCCCAGAAACCAATTTTTTAAAAATAGGATTGTACAAAAACTGATATCATTACCTGCTGGGTGCTAATGTAAGGATTTCTTTCCTTTTTTTATAAAATCGTCTTTAAAGTCCTGAACACTGTTTCCCACATGCTTACAGCCCCAGTAAAGGAAATGATTACAGATCACTGTGTGTCAGACTTGCCCCTCCTGTCTGTCTTAACAGGATCCACATTTTACATTGCAGGCATGGCTGGCGCGATTCACTTTCTCTCTGACGTCCTCGTTCCGGAGACATCACGGTTTCCAGCGTTTGAACTTGGCTCTTCACAGAGAGACAAAAAGGTGCAAAAAGACTACTAAGACACCTGTTTGGACCAAAAGACACCAGATTGCTTAGTGCGTGACACAGAACCAACTGTGAATCCTGAAAGGGGGAAAAAAGGAGAAGTAGACACCGTCACAGGCCCACTTGTGTTGCCAAGACCCTCAAGTTAGAGCATGAGTGACAGAAACCATCCCATCAGCGTTGTGTGACAGTGTTCCCCTCACTGGTGTAAAATATGAATTCTTCACATCCAGTTCAGTGTAGTGTTGCATGTTTCTTGGTACTTGTTGTCTGTAGGGGTAAGTTGTTCTAAACGGAAAACTCTCCTCTTTCTGTGAGCCTGGAGCTGACCATGCCTGAGAGCATGGCACAGCCTCTTCTCTGTATATAGTATCTAAAGTGGGATGGCTTTGATATTGACACACAGTGAATAGTTGGGTGGTGTCTCTTCTGTATCAGAAAGGTGCTCTAGGGTGATATCCTACTGATAATGCTTTTTCAGCATTTTCTGTGGGAACCTTTCAGATGAGCAAGAGGGAAAGACCACTCCAAAAATTGAAAAGAAACACAACAGATAAGAGGGGGTTTTACTGGAATGGTTGAGGGGGTAAGCCTTTCCACAAGGAAGTTGAATGCTCCCTCTGTGTCTTGCGTTCACCTTAGTGCTTTTACAAAGCCACAGAGGGTGCATTGCAGCCACTCTCAGCAGAGGAATCAGGCACTTGGTGTGAAGTTCCGAAGGCTCTCTGCAGTCCACAGCAGCAGTGCCCAGGGAGTGGACTTCATGACAGCAGGACAACACCCCAGGGAAGGCTTTTCATGACCACATTGTAAATCAAGTAGCAGTGACCATGCGTTGGCAATTCTAGAGTCTATGTACATTATTAAAACAGGCTGAGCCTCAGTTTTATCAACATCCCAGCTTATTATTATAAGTTCAGTGGCTGCAATTCCAGATACCTGATAAGCAGAAAGATTCAACTGTTCCCATGTCTCTGCAATTAAACTTATTTCAAAATTTAGTAAGTTATCAAAAGTATAAATTTGGGGTTATTTTTTTGTCCACTATTTGGGTGATAAAGTCTCACATTTGGTGAAATGTATTAAGCATAAAAGTACTAGTTTGCATTTGTCCATATGGGAAACATAATCTTCTAACCAAGAAAATCGTGGTATTCTCTGTCTGACATTTTTTATTTAAAATATGGGCGTTAATGTAGATTGGCATAAGTTTTTAAAAGAGCTTTGTCATCACATTACCAGTGGTCTAGGACTTTTACGTGTGTCTATCTTATGAGCTAAGGCCTGGGTTATAAAAGACAGGATAGGTCTCTCTGATGTCTGGTCCTTGTTTGCAAGGGACAGTCTAGACATTTGTTAGCCCTTGTTTCCACTTCTTTGATAAGGGAGAAAGAAGAACATCAACATGGAAGACAAATATCCTTCATGCATGCAGTTCTTAGGATTTTGGGGGCTGACACCCTAACATATGACCTTCAGTTTCTAAGTGATGCCTCATGAAACTCTTCATTGCAGATACGCTTGTTTCCAAGCCATGACTATTTTCTTCCAAGTAGGTTGACAACTTCTGTGGGTGTAAATCCCCTTGGTTATATTCTAACCGACTTCTGGGCCTAGTAATATGCTTCTCAGGCAGCCCTTGTTAACCTGAAGGCGGAATATACTGTCATGAGTAAGCTGAGGGGTCTGTTTGGCAGAAGAGCTCATGTGATATCAGCACTGCTTCCTCCTCCCCATGCACCTCATCCATACCACACAGGACAGAGCGTATAGTGAGTTCCTGCCTGCTTCACCCATGGCTGCCCTCAAGGCTTCGGCTCAAAGTTGTGCCCAAGCTGTCTCATTTCTCAGGGGAAGCCGGGAGTCCTGCCCAGGAATCACCCTGAGGCCCCCCCATACAGCCTGTCTCAGCAAGAGGGAGGCAGCTCATGGAAGCCCTGATTCTGGCCACATATCTCCAGACCAGAAACAGTGAGGGTGACTCCTAGTTATCTGGGTGTCTCGCCATGTATTTTCATACTTGTTAGGCTTGTTTCTGACTAACACACTAAAGGGAAGATAAAATACTTGTGGAATAAATGGAGGAGATTTTATTTACAGGGTTTTTTTTTTTAAGGTCAGCTGGATTGATGCCTTCATACTTACCCACTAGATGTTAACAGATGTGTAGCTTTGTTATTCTATATGAACTCACTTCCTAGGGTCTGTTACATGGTCCACTACATAATGTTCCAGCTCTCAGTCCCTGTGGCAGAGGAGAAGTGGCATGTACTTCAAAGAACAGAAGACCTACAGAAGTCAGTTTAATAGTTCTAAGTGTCTGAATTCTGACCTCAGAACATCTCACCATGATTTCTTGGATTTGTTTGTGTCCTCCAAGATGTGTCTAAATTTTAAAAATATGTATATGCACAATACCATTTTAAAATTTGAAAGGAAAAAAATTGATGTCCACAAAAAGTGTGTGTGGTTCTTTGGTTTTGTTAGTAAAGACAATTTTGTGGTGATAACTTGTAGGATGTTCATTTGTTCTCACTTCTCTGCCTTTGAGAGTGACGTTGGTTAGGAGTATTAGTCACTGTTCCGAAGATTTCATTCTTCACTTAAAAATATTGCCATTGCTCATGTTATGATGTAATAAGTAATTCATTAGAATGATAGCTTTAGGTCCCTACACATGCATTCTCTTTTAATTCCAACCTGAAACCTGGGTAATTGAGCTTGCATTGTGTGACAGGCCTTCACACTCACTGTCGTCCTTAGTGATGACAGCACTGCTGGAGGTGGGCACTGTTATTATCACTGTTTTACAAATGAAAAAACTGATGGCCTTGCCTACGGTCACAGCTAGAATGAGGGACAGTCCAGAAGCCCATGGTCATACTTCTACCCTTCATGCAGTACCTCTTCCCTTCCATTCTGGATACACAAGGTAGAAAAGTGAAACCTGGGAGAGGCCCTGTGACTTAATAAGGAGCATGAGACTGGGAAATGGAGGAGCAGGGACTCATGAAGGCTTCTTCCTCTGTCCTTGTCACCTGTGCTACCCAACCACCTTTGTGGCTAAGAGGGATCCTCTAACCTTATTCATTGCAATTGTGCAATTGCTTTCAACTTTGTAAGGCAGTTTCACATCTGTTACTTCATTTGCTGAATTCACAAAAGCAGCGATCCAAATTGAAAGTCCATGTTCCCTAAACATTTTTACAGACTTTCCTTCCTCCATTCCAGACTCTTTGCTGCAGCTTTGAGAGGTCTTTCCTTTCATGGGCCTCAAGTCTGGCACGAGGCTGGGTGTGTAGTGGGGATGGGGCCATGGGTGATCTTCAGGAGTCTATGAACCCGCTAAATTGTGTGAAAAGTTTTATGTGCATATGTGTATGAATATTTATCTGGAGAGGGTTCCTAGTTTTCATCAGAGCTTCCAAGTAGTCTGTGACCCAAAAAGGGTAACAAGTGTCAGATTCCTGGGGTAAAGAATGGATTTTGGCAAGCTGGGCCTCAAAACAAGGAGCAGGGATGCTGTGGCAGATGGGCATGGCGAGGGTATCTGGAATCAGGAGGCACCTCACTCATTTAGGAAGATCCCTACTATGGTGGAGGATGCCACCTGCAGGTCTCAGTTTTTCTACATCACATTGCCTTGAGGAGAGCCAAATGTCAATTCTGCCATGACTGTCACCCCGATGCTATTAGCCTTCTATTGAACTGGCCGGTGGCCCTGGAAGACTATGTTACATCGTTGCCCCTCCTGATCAGAGCAAGGTTGCAGGTTCCTTCAAGTCCCTTTTTTACCAAGACTCCAGCTCCCTGGAGTTAGATCCCTAGAAGCACCAGTGATCCCAGATGACGGGAGCCATAATGAGGTCCAGTCTGCTTCACAAATACCAGTGCCCCCATTTTCCTCTCCCACTTGGAGATGGGAGGCTTGATTTCTTCATTCAACAAGTGTTTATTCACCTACAGCGCTCCAGGCATTGTGCTAAGTGCTGACAGTGAAATGATAAACTTACAGTCATGGATCCTGTCCTCTTGCAGCTCACAGTCCAGCTTGATGAACACCTGCTGGTGGGGAGCAGCCTCAAGCTCAGATGAAGGGGAGGCCCTTCCTTGGCAGAACTTCAGACAGTCCCTCTGCAGTGCAGTCGGGGCAGCAAGCCTCCCAGGTGAAGAATGCGGTGTGCATCTTCTGGGTAATGATCACAGGTGATCAGCCCAGCCTTGCAGTGTAACGTCCTCTGGCATGAGCATGAGGCTGGTCCCTGTCATCACAGAGCATGTGTAGTGGAGATTAAGGGCAGGGACTGGAATCCTAATGCTTATGTTTACCTCTGAGTGCAACCTCTTGTGTGTACTTGTCAAGCAATTTCCTAAGCCTCCAGTTTTTTCCTATAAAATCAGGAAAATCTTATTTGGTTGATGGAAGGATTAAAGTGAAACAACAAATGGGGAAAGTATCTAGCACATGTAAGTGCTCTGTAATGGGAGAGGTGAAGGTTTTGGTATAGTGCTTTTATGTGAGGAAACAGGCTCACTCTCCTAAGTAGTAGAATGAAAACCCAGATCTGTCCAAGCTGTCACCACCTTCCGGTATCCCTCCTCTGCCTGGTAGCCCGGAACTTTCAGCCAGCTGTATGTGTGTGCATGCATGCATGTGCATGGGATGCACGCACTTCTCGCTGTCCCAAGGTCCTTCAAGGGGAAAAGATGTTGCAGCAGCAAAGAGGAACCAAGCCTCAATTACAAGCCTCTGAAACCTAAATGTTCAGAGAGATTGGGTTCTCCTTTCTTCTGGCCTGTTCTTGGTTTAGTGCCCCAAGGAGATCTTCCTGATTCTGTACCATCCGTAGACTCTTGTGGTTTTCACAGGATCATCCACCAGATGCAGTGCTGGTCTCATGTCAGTAGGGAGCACCCCACTCTTTAAAGTATTGTCCATAGGAGAATAAAACGCGTACCCAGCAGCATAATCACACATCCACCCATAATCCTAAACATTCCCAGCAGTTCCGAAAACTGATGGGGCTGACCTGCCTTTCAGACCGTTTCCTCATGGAGGCCATAGGAAGTTGTCAAACACTCTATGCTCAGCTGCTGGGAACTAAAAAGGGGACAATAAACAAGGACCGTCCTGCTCTGCTGGGTCCCCCAAGAAGCCCCCCAAGGCTCTCCAGTAGCAGGAAGGAGGGCCATGCTCCCTCTCTGCAGCTGAGCTAAATGTTCTGAGACCTTGTGTGCTGAAAAATGTCTTTGTTCTGCCCTGACACTGAACTCATAGATGGTTTATAGAACTCTAGACTGGAAATCACTTTCCTACTGAAATTTCAAGGCATCATTGTACTGTCTTCTAGCTTCCAGTGTTGCCTCTCAGAATATCATAGCCGTTGTGATTCCTGTTTCTTTGTGCGTGGTCTTGTGTTTTGTATATGATTGCTTTGCGAGTTGTAGGATTTTTGTTTGTTTGTTATGATAATGGGCCTAGGCTTGGGTTGTCTTCCAATCTGGAAACTCGTGTCTTTCAATTCTAGGACATTTTCTTGAATTATTGTTTTTTTGTTGAGGTCATAATAGTTTACATCACTCTGAAATTTCAGTTGTACATTATTTCTTGACTGTCCCCACATAAGTGCTCCTTTTCAGCCCCTGTACCCACACCCTTACCCCACTTCCCCTGGTAACCACTGAACTATTTTCTTTGTCCATCTGTTTGTTTATATTCCACTTATGAGTGAAATCAAATTGTGTTTGTCTTTCTCAGACTGGCTTATTTTGTTTAGCGTAATACCCTCCAGGTCCATCCATGTTGTTGCAAATGGGATGATTTTGTCTTTTTTTATGGCAGAGTACTATACCATTGTATATATATACCACATCTTCTTTATCCAATCATTGGTCAATGGGCACATGGGTTGTTTCCATGTCTTGGCTGTTGCAGAAGCTTTTTAGTCTGATGTAGTCCCATTTGTTAACTTTTTCTTTTGTTTCTCTTACCGAGTAGACAGGGTATTCGAAAAGATGTGGCTAAGACCAATGTCAAAGAGTATTCTGCCTGTATTTTCTTCTAGGATTTTTATGGTTTCAGTTCTTACATTCAAATCTTTAATCCATTTTGAGTAAATTTTTGTGTATCATGCAAGATAATGGTCTGCTTTCATTCTTTTGCATGTAACTGTCCAGTTTTTCCCAACACCATTTATTGAAGAGACTTTCCTTTGTCCATTGTATGTTCTTGGCTCCTTTGTCACAGATTAACTGTCCATAGATGTTTGGTTTTGTTTCTGGGCTTTCAATTCTGATCCATTGATCTGTTTCTGTGCCAGTACCATGCTGTTTTGAATACTATAGCCTTGTAGTATGTTTTGAAGTCAGGGATTATGATGCCTCCAGCCTTGTTCTTTTTGCTCAGGATTGCTTTGGCTATTTGGGGTCTTTTGTTGTTCCGTATTAATTTTTGGATTCTTTGTTCTATTTCTATGAAGAATGTCATTGGGATTTTGATTGGGATTGCGTTGAATCTGTAGATTGCTTTAGGTAATATGGATATTTTATTTATATTTATTCTTCTGACCCATGAACATGAAATACCTTTCCATTTCTTTATGTCTTCTTCAGTTTCTTCAATAATGTCTTATAGTTTTCAGTGTAAACGTCTTTCACCTCTTTGGTTAAGTTTGTTCCTAGATATTTTATTCTTTTTGTTGCGATTGTAGATGGGATTGTATTCTTGATTTCTTTTTCTGCTAGTTCATTGTTAGTGTATAGGAATGCAGCTGATTTTTTAAATTGATTTTGTACCCTGCAACTTTGCTGTAGTTGTTGATTATTTCTAATAGTTTTCTTTAGGGTTTTCTATATATAGAATTACATCATCTGCAAATAGTGGAAGTTTCACTTCTTCCTTTCCAATTTGGATTCCTTTTATTTATTTTTCTTGCCTAATTGCTCTGGACAATACCTCCAGTACTATGTTGAATAGGAGTGGCAAGAGTGGCACCCTTGTCTTGTTCCTGTTCTCAGAGGGATGGCTTTCAGTTTTTCTCCATTAAGCATGATGTTGGCTGTGGGTTTGTCATATATGGCCTTTATTATGTTGAGGTACTTTCCTTCAATACCCATTTTATTGAGAGTTTTTATTGTAAATGGATGTTGGATCTTGTCAAATGCTTTCTGTGCATCTACTGAGATGATCATGTTACTCTTATTCCTCATTTTGTTAGTGTGGTGTATCACATTGATTGATTTGCAGATGTTGAACTATCCCTGCATCCCTGGAATAAATTCCACTTGATCATGGTGTACAGTTCTTTTCATGTATTGCTGTATTCAGTTTGCCAACATTTTGTTGAGGGCTTTTGCATCTAAATTCATCAGTAATATTGGTCTGTAGTTTTCCTTCTTCGTGTTGTCCTTGTCTGGTTTTGGGATTAGGGTAATGTTGGCCTCATAAAACCTGTTAGGAAGCATTCCATCTTCTTCAATTTTTTGGCATAGTTTGAGAAAGATAGGTACT